CCTCATGGCGAATACTAAATATTAAAATTAAATATAAACAAAGCAAAACAACAGGTCGTTGAACCGGCCTACTGGAAAATAACAACATCACAAATACACACATACACACACATCGCTGTACAAAAAATTTGCACAGAACATTCACATAAACACTAATAAACAGACTAATGGCACTAAATCCTAAACGTTTGAGAGGATTGACAACAATAAAGATTTTTGAATTGAGTAAAATAGCTACCAGGATCGCGAACATTTTTTTTTCAACATTTGAAATATATAATTTACGAAAAAATGGTCTCATTCAAAAATAGCCCAGTGGTTTGAGCTGAAAATAGCTTATTTCTACGTGGAATGAATGAAGGAACAAATCCCTGAAAGAAAATTTCATGTCCCAGGACTTCGCGGTTAAACCAAGTTCAAACCACCCGTGTGCAGTCATAGATAATGCCTTCTACATGATTTTAGAGATTCATTTTAAATGAATAACTTAAGGTTCTGTTGCACATTATGTTCTATACAAAATAATATTGTATGACATTTACTGGCATTTAGTTTAAGGTTAAGATTCATATAAAATATATATACTGCATTTAGATCTAAATTCATATTTTGCGAGGGTATATCTACTTCACATGGGTCAAAGGAATAATATAGTTGCGTGTCGTCAGCAAAAGAGAACCCCAAGGACAGAGCCTTGAGGTTATTTTTTGCCAGAGAAATAAATGAATACGAACTAATAAAATGTCAACAATGAATTAATTTGATGACTCTCGGATTACCAATAATGACAAATAAGAAAGTTAATTCGAATCTAAATCTGAACCATCTGTCGAGGAATCGAGGTTTGTATATATGCTTTATTGTCGTAAAAAAATTTACAAAAATTTTATAGACAAAGCGTGTAACTTAAATACTAAACATATTATAAAAATAACTAAACAGCAGAAAAAACAAACAGAAACAAACAGACAAAATAGGAATAACAATTGCAATGGATATGCAATATCCGTCATTATAATTATTCTAATTTAATTTTTAAATTTAAATTTAAACTTTAATATTTAATTATTTAATTAATGCCATTGTATGTGGAACTCAAATGTCTAAGGTACGTTATAAAATTCTGCTACTGTGTAATATGGTCTTTCTAGAAGAAAAGCTTTAGCCAGTCTTCGGAACTTATCGTATGTATTTATAGATTTTAATTGCATCGGAAGGTTATTATACAATTTTTTGGCATTGTAGGTAATGGAATGTTTTAATAGGTCAGAAGTGGGCATTGTTAAATAAACATCAGTCTCTAAATTTCTTGTAGGATATCTACGAGTCGGTCTTTCGGATAAATTTTGAATGTGCTTGCGAACTAAGCAGACGGATTCGAAAATAAATAGAGCAGGAAGGGTTAGAATTTTGAAATTTTTGAAGTAATTTTCGCAATGTGTCCTACTACTTAAACCAAATACATAGCGGATTGCTCTTTTTTGCAGTTTAAAAATAGATTCAAAAAGGTATAAGCTACAAGAACCCCAGAAAGGTAAACCATAGCGAAGGTGAGATTCGAATAAGGAAAAGTAGGTTATTAATGCAGTAGAAGGAGTCAGCTCTTTAGAAACCGATTTAATGGCAAAACATGCGGAGGATAATTTTTTTGCTAAGGTATCTATATGAGCAGACCATTTTAGAGAATCGTCTATATAAAGACCTAAAAACTTGATTGAAGTCACCGTTTGGATCAGATTATTGTTTAAAGTTATAGGTTGTAAAGTACCTCTGTAAGACAATGCTACAGTTTTACTGGTGTTGAAACAAAGTCCATTCGAATCAGACCAGGACCTAATAGTCACTAAATCTTCACTTATGATAGATTCTAATGTCTGCATGTTAGAATTATTCCAGGTTACACTGGTGTCATCAGCAAATAAAGTAATTCTACCACTTATTCTTAAGTCTGTGATGTCGTTGATGAATAATAAAAACAAAATTGGACCTAATACTGATCCTTGAGGTACTCCATTGCTTATTGCTAGATTTGTAGATTCCTCACCATTCGCCCGCACCTGTTCATTTCTATTTTCTAGGTAAGTTTTAAACCATTGTAAAGGAGAACCCCGTATGCCATAAATTTGTAACTTATTAATTAAAATATCATGATTTACACAATCGAAGGCCTTTGCGAAGTCACAAAATACTGAAGCGGTGAAAAGTTTATCATTAAGTGATGTGTATATTTCATTAAGAACGGAAAACATTGCGTCGCTAGTGCATTTTTTAGGTAGAAAGCCATACTGATAAGCTGTGAGGATGTTATGCTTGAAAAGAAAGGGCAAAAGACGGTTTTTCATTAGCCGTTCTACTATCTTCGATAAGGTAGGCAATAACGCGAAAGGTCTATAGTTACAGGTTTTGGTTTTGTCGCCACCTTTATGAAGTGGGATTATTATAGCTGTTTTTAGACAGTTAGGAAAGAGACCAATTTCAAAGGATTCATTAATCAGTGAAGTTAAAATGTTGATTACTACATCCGGTATATTTAGAAATATTTTGGTGGACAGGCCATCAATTCCACAGGAAAATTTATTTTGGATGTTGTTTATGGTTTGCACTAGTTCATGCTTGTCTACTGGTCTCAGGAAGAAACTTTCAGTGATCCTTTTAGTAGGTAGGAGGAAGGAGAGAGCATCCTGACTCGGAGCTATGTTAGATTTGATATTTTTACTTACATTTACGAAATAATTGTTTAGTTCATCTGGGCTAGGATTTACACTGATTGAAGAACGGGTTTTATTCCTTATAACTACTGGAGCTATAGAAGGTAAAATATGATTTTTTTTTTCTTTTTAGGACGTGACTAATGCAGTTTTTCTAAACGTTAGTCAAAGACGGGTCTATAAAAACGCCATTAATATTTTCCAAATCACATTTATTTAGGTTTTTGTTTAACTGAAGACCAAACTAATTCAATTGGATTAAGTACACAATATTAAGGTGGTAATCTCAATACAGTATGATCACCATCTTTTGCAAAATTATCAATATAATACTGTATTGGAATATTCTTACTTTTAACAATTTGTAACAATTGTGGTTTTGTTTTTACGAAAGCAGGACTATCAATGTTTTAAGATACTGTATTACGGCATGGGGAGGGGCTTTTAACATTACACTTAATACTCTGCAAGTAACACAAAACACAATTTTTAAAATAATATTAAAAAAAGATAAATTATTCACTACCATACGATTATATAATGAAAACGAAATCCTCAACATTAAATCACTCTTTATCTACCAATGTATCATAAAAGTATATAATAGCCCCGAACTATTTCAATATAAACAAACTCGATTGACTCGCTCTACTACTCAACTTTTTAAAAAATCTCTAACCCAAAGATCCTTCTTTTACTTTGGTCCCAAGTTCTATAATCTAATCCCCATACATCTCAAACAAAAAAGTAAACTATCTATATTCAAACAAAATATTAAAAAATATATAATAGATAACCAAATCACATTTACTGCTATAATGTTGTAAGCTATACCTGATTTAAAATTGAAATTTGTTGTTAACTATTTGTATTTAATGTTGGAATAACTCCTGGATAACCCTCGTCTGCTTCGCTCTGCATATGTACTCAATCTAAAAAAAATTTGTATCCTACTTATTTTTATACCTACTTAGGCACTAAAATATAAAATGTACGTTTTATTTTAAATCTTTTAGAATCGGCACAAGCAACACAGGCAGCTTTTGCTTAGGCTTGTTGCTAATTCTAGATTTTTTGTAATCTATATTAATCTTAAAATATTATTATTATTATTATTTGTACTTTATTACTATTTGAATTTGAATAAATTGAAATTGAATAAATTGAAATTGAATAAATTGAAATTGAATAAATTGAAATTATCTTTTGAATACTTTGATATATCTGATTTCTTAGAGTCACTACTTGGCTTCTTGTGAATTGGCCGGAAATGATATGGCGCATTGTCCATTATAATGACTGAATTATGTGGAATATTCGGTAAAAGTTGTTCAGCAAACCAGTTCTTAAAAACTGCTGCATTCATATCTTTATGATAATCCAGCAGAGCTTTATTGACATATTTTGCTGAAAGTGGCGAAGCGTTTGCTACAAAGTCATTTTCATTTCTGGCATGTAAAATTATGACTCTAGCATCTACATCTACCTCAAAAGGTCTCTATAGAGCATCTCGTATAACACAAATCAAAATTTAACAGAAACACCGAAAAATAAAAACAAGTGGGAAAATTTTTCAAACCGTGTACGCTACTGAACAAAGACAAAACAACTAAAGCAGCCAGGCGAGCCAGTAATTCTGAAAGCTCACTTGTGGACTTAACATCAACTGTAGGTGCGTATGTTTAAAACTTAAGTGTGCCACATCAGAGGCAGGGCCTTCCTAAGATATTTGGCGCCCCTGGACTACTAGAAATTATGCGCCCCTCTTAATAATTGAAAACTGATTTAGATAGAAATAATACTAATACACATTGTAACAAAACAAAAAAGTGTCCTTAAATTCACCTTTTTAAATAAAAAACACAATTAATTCAGCAAAATAAATGTTTTTTATTATAATATGTGTGTACAAAACAGTAAAAAAATAATATGAAGTTTAAAAAATGTTGATAAATATAAAAATAATAAGTAATTCTAGAAAGTTATAAATTTTATACTGTTATCAAAAAAATACAATACCCTAAATATTTATTTTCCTTGCCTTTTCGGTAGCAAATTGTTTAATAATATCCAATGTATTTAAATTATTAAATAATTCACTCTCGATGGATAATATGCTCAAATTATTTAATTTATCCTGTCCCAACGAAGAACGCAAATAGTTTTTAATTCTTTTTAAGGTTGAGAAGGATCTTTCGCCGCTGCAGTTTGTTGTTGCAATACTTAAAAAGATACGCATTGCTGTAGCCACGTTCGGAAATGTAGATTCAATTTTTGATTCAACAATTGTTTTTAAAATAAGCTCGGCCATAGATATATTTCATCAATTAAATGTATGTGTTTAAAATGAATGCATTCTTCCACAAAATTAGCTTCTAAATCGTCCATATACGATTCGTATAATACAGCAGCACTCTTTTTTATTGTTGCTTCATCTAAATTTTCTAAGTTTACAAGAAATCCAAATTTTAGAAATATTTCATCATAAGCAAGTTTTCTTTTCTGAATTTCTGCTAGAAGCTTATCGATAATTACATAATAAGTATTAATTCTAAATGCAGTGTCAGGATCAAATTCAATTTCCTCAGACATGCTTTCATCGTATTGACGTTTTCTCCTCCTAAGTCGTTTGTATTGATTACATTCGGAAAATTTTACTTCTTCAGATTTATAAAAATTAAAGGCTTCTGAACTACGTTTCGATTTCAACATTTCTTCTACTGCTATATATAATTTAACAATTGTTTCAATGGATATATCCACGTTTTGAAGTGATTTGTTAGTTTTATTCATCATTTCAAGAATATCGCTCCAAAAAACGATCATAATACCTGTTTCCAGTGACGCAAACTCATGCAGTAATCCTTGTGCTTCAAGTTTGGTAGTGGGCTTTTGCAAATTATCTTCATGTATATTTTTAAGTGCATTTTTAAAATCCCCATAACCGGAAACCACGGCTTTTACTGAATCAGCTCTAGCTGACCAGCGCGTGCCACTTAAAGTTTTAGGGACTTTGTGTTTTTCCTGTAGCTGTTTGTTTAATATTTCCCATCTCGATGTTGACGCTGCAAAGAAATTGTACAAATTTTGCAAAAACATGAATAATTTGGTTGCTTCAAAACAGCATTCCGCCGCTGATTCGCCAATTAAATTTAAGGAATGTGCTGCACAGGGTACATAAATCGCAAGATTATTTTTTGATTTGATTCGTGCTTGGAGCCCACTATGTATACCCGACATATTAGAAGCATTATCATAGGATTGTTCTCTGCAATCTTCCAAACGAATATTCAATTCAGATAGTAGATTCAAAATGCATTCTTCCATTTGCTCGCTTTTATGACCGGTATTTTCTAAAAATTTTAAAAACTTTTCGACAGCTGAACCATTTTTGTTTACGTATCCAATAACAACTGTTAATTGATCTATGTGCGCAATATCTGGTGTCGAATCTACTATTATTGAATAATATTTTGCGTCTTTTAATTCATTGATAATGGCAGTTCTAACATTATTTCCCAAAATTTTTACAAACTCATCGCATATTTTTGTAGATAAATAAGACACATTTCCAGTACCCTTATTCGCATAATTAAATAAATGTTGCTGCAAAATAGGATTAAATTTTGCTAAGAGTTCTATGCATCCTAAGTAATTTCCATTGTGTTTATTTCCAATGATTTGGTTGCTTCCACTAAAAGCTAATCCTCTTGAACATAAAAATCTAATAACTTCAACAATCCGCTCTAAAATATTTCTCCAATAATTTGTATTTTGTTCTAAAGTAATAATCGAATAATTTTTGAAATACTGAGATTTTACAGTGGATCTATTTACAAATATCCGCGTGTTTTCTTTATGTAGGGATGAATTTTCATGGTCAGCAATTTTTTCCGGATGTTTCCAATCATTGAAACCTCCACTAAATATATTACTTGCACTACCAAATAATTTGCAAGGTACACAATAAACTTTTCCTGAAGATTGACAAGGGGGGTAGCCATGTGTGAGTTGAGGTAATTTTATGGTGAAGGGGGAGAAAAAGTCCTTTATATCTCACAAGGAAAGTCAATGTTTAATTATTTAACAAAACATTGAGTGCGACCGGTTTCGAAGTGTCATCACTTCATCTTCAGGCTCGCCTAGTGGAAAGAAAAATATGTGGTGTAAGGTGTGTTAACTTGGAGCAAACGATATATAAAATAGTAAAAAAGAGAAAACTCACCATACTCTCCATCCACTAGGGAATACTACAAAACAAGTTTCATCAAATATGGGGTGAAATAAATTGTAAAATGAACAAAGTTTACAAGTAATAAAAAGTTAAAAATATTTGAAAAAACAAATATTAGTCAATTGAAATAGTAAAAATTTAAAATATTCAAGACCATACAAAACAAATCACATACATTAAACAGATTAAAAGATAAGGCTTATTTTAAACAATCTTGTTGTTTTTTTAAAAAAACTAACATTTTTGAAAGGAGACCTGTCAAGTTAAGGCCTCTACAGGTGGTAATAAGTATTAACAAAAAAATTCTTGGGTAAACCCATGACAGGGTATAGGTAATAAGATGTAAACCATGAGTGAAGAAATATTTATTGTTTATTATATAAGATTTGGGCCATGAACCAATCACCAAGTGTATGTGATGTTGTAGGAAGAAGAAAGAAGAAGAAATGACTGGGTTAACTGTTGTGAAGCAACTGAAAAATAAAAGAAGAAAAGAAGAAAATGACGGATGTGAATATCACACAATCTAACCTAATCTTTAAACATGCTCGATGGTTTCTTGTGGGAAAAAAATTACTTACTGAAATGTACCCCTTGCAAGAAAATATGTGAATAGAAATAAAGGGGGAGGTTAAAAAGGAAGTTAGAACGATAAATTTAGATTAGTGTTGAGAAAACAGGAGGAGTTTCTGACATTATCTGGGCATCAGAAACTCCTCCTGTTTTCTCAACACTAATCTAAATTTATCGTTCTAACTTCCTTTTTAACCTCCCCCTTTATTTCTATTCACATATTTTCTTGCAAGGGGTACATTTCAGTAAGTAATTTTTTTCCCACTAGAAACCAACGAGCATGTTTAAAGATTAGGTTAGATTGTGTGATATTCACATCCGTCATTTTCTTCTTTTCTTCTTTTTCTTCAGTTGCTTCACAACAGTTAACCCAGTCATTTCTTCTTCTTCCTACAACATCATATACACTTGGTGATTGGTTCATGGCCCAAATCTTATATAATAAACAATAAATATTTCTTCACTCATGGTTTACATCTTATTACCAATACCCTGTCATGGGTTTACCCAAGAATTTTTTTGTTAATACTTATTACCACCTGTAGAGGCCTTAACTTGACAGGTCTCCTTTCAAAAATGTTAGTTTTTTTAAATAAACAACAAGGTTGTTTAAAATAAGCCTTATCTTTTAATCTGTTTAATGTATGTGATTTGTTTTGTATGGTCTTGAATATTTTAAATTTTTACTATTTTAATTGACTAATATTTGTTTTTTCAAATATTTTTAACTTTTTATTACTTGTAAACTTTGTTCATTTTACAATTTATTTCACCCCACATTTGATGAAACTTGTTTTGTAGTATTCCCTAGTGGATGGAGAGTATGGTGAGTTTTCTCTTTTTTACTATTTTATATATCGTTTGCTCTAAGTGTTAACACACCTTACACCACATATTATTCTCCTTTCCACTAGGCGAGCCTGAAGATGAAGTGATGACACTTCGAAACCGGTCGCACTCAATGTTTTGTTAAATAATTAAACATTGACTTTCCTTGTGAGATATAAAGGACTTTTTCTCCCCCTTCACCTTAAAATTTTCCTGAAGAATTTGAATACAAAAGCCAATTGCGCTTCTGTTGTTTTCCATTTCGTAAATGTCTATAAAATATAGTTTTCGTAGCATACCTATTTTGTGATTTGTGAACTACTTTAGATGCAGAAAAATCCAATTTTTCAATATCTACCTCAATGTTACAAACTTTCATTATTATTTCCATAATTTTATTTTCGCTTAATCTTCCCCATAATGCTGGATCTTCATAATTATCTGAGATTTCTTCCTTTTGAATTATTTCCTGATCTTTATCCCTTTTCTCCTCTTTCTGAAATTTCTTCATCTGTGCTTCTTCTTTTGCATTTTGATCCGAATTTTCTTCATTTACAGCTGCATCTGGATCGGTTGACGTATTTCCAGCTTTTTTAAAGAAACCTTACAGGTATTTTCTTGAGAGTTTCTTTTTGCTTCGCGTCCTCTTCTTCTTTCAATTTACGATAGGCAAAACCAGCAGTGGGATTCTCATCTTTCGTACTCGGGATATCCCGAGAAACTCACTATTCGCTAGAAAATAATCGAAACTTATGTTAAATGAGTTGGGTATCGATCTAGACGTGCCTTCGCGTTGGCGTTTTATGTTTCTTGGTTGTTGTTATGTCATTAAATGGTGTTTTTGGTTAGAAAATGTTTCGTTTGAAATATTTTATTTAATAATATTAAGCTAATGTATAAAATTTTTGTTATCTTTATTAAATTAGACGTTTAGTAGAATACATATTGTTATTTTAAAATACAGTAAAATGAGTGGAAGACACTTGTGTGCCTCAATACCGTGGCCTCAATGCAATCCTTGTATAATTATTTCATGAAAAAAATGGCATTCTGTTACATTTCATCGGTTTCCTAAAACCGGTAGATGTAAGGTAATTTTGTAATATAAAAGTGGAAAATCTGAACTTGTGGATGCAAGAAGAGTATGCTTCAAAAATTGAAAATAGGGAAGTAAAATTTATGAAAGGAAAGTTTGTTCTTAGCATTTTAAAGATTTATAGGTACTTATAAAGGTAATACCTAGGTATATTTTTCATTTAATGTTTATTTAATTTTTTTTATGTTGCAGCTGCCACATCTCAAATAAAAAGAAACTCTCCTTTAAAATGCCAATTGTTAAGGAACATTCTTATGACTCTGTTCCATCTACTTCAAAATCTAACAGACTAATAAAAATAACTCAAAATTGAAAAAATTGCCAATCAGTTTGAATGTAATAATTAGAACACACAATAAGGGTTAGTTAATGAAAGTGATTTGTTTCAAGATAAACTGGTAACTCCTCCTGAACAAGACATAGAAGATGCAAATTAATATTTTGCAGTTAATAAAAAGTGTTGACCGTAGTTATTGTACAAGTGAAAATAGTAAAAAGTTAAGTTTTACCATGTGTTGATTTATTAGTTTAAAAATTAAAATAGTGTAAAATTTACATTAACCATCACTTTTGGAAACTTGATTTATAATATATCTAAACCTACCAGAGTAACCAAAATTTCAAAAACATTACTTAATGTTATATTTTTAAAAACTGTCTGGTTATCATGCTGGTAATATAGAGATCTCATACCTCTGCTGATCACTGCTTTTTTGTAAATTTGCTGAACAAGAAACTGATCACAAAAATGGGCCATGTTCACATGTGAGATATTGTTAAGAGTGAGATTATAGGCCTTTTGACTGACCCTTAAGTCCACTCTTAGCGGTAACCACGGGTTATATAGAGGGGCCCAATTTGTATTTAAATTGCCTCTAGACAACACACGGCTAGGGGGTTAAGTTCAGAAGGAACCCTAACTTCCTGACGATGATTCAGAGGACAGGGAAAGGGTTTGCCCTACAGGAACTATTCCCTTTGGCAGTTTTCTCTTTCTCTCAGAGATTGGATTAAGCCAATACCCCCGCCTTTGAATGATCGTAAGTTTTCATAAACCAAAGAAAATTGAAACAAGCGTAAAACAAATAACTGTGATTTATTTAACAAATAAAAACAACTAATATTGCTTCTGCAATCACATAGTCTTTACTGACTACACAAAAACTAAATATAACTACTTAACATTATTTACTTACATAAGCATTATGTTCTATCTGTTAGGCTGCAAGGCTGGCTGGTTGCACAGTAAACGAAATAATTACACATGAACATAAAGTATTTTGCACTATTTCTCCCACATTTGAAGTAAATAACAAGTTGAATTTGATAATGAACATTTAGAGAAACGTTTAATTTGTCAACTACATTATTGTTAAGGCTTGTATATATTTTTTATTATTTGTAAATAAAGTGTTTTTTACTTCATTTATCTTATTCAGGTACTTTTATTTTTTAATAATAGGTAAATAAAAGTTTCACAGATTTTACATTTTTGTTTGTATACATTTATTATAATCCCTAAAATAATGTGTAAATTAATTAAAAAAACAAACCATTTATTAAGTATGTAGCTCGGTATTTAGTCTTACAAAATGAGTTCTTTTAATTCACACAGAAATGTAAAAGGTTTATGTAAGCTACACTTTCCTTCTCATAAATATGATTGAGGATTTTAAAAACACTGTTGGGCAATCCTAAATATACCTTCAGTTTATTTTCAATTATTTTGAGAGTTCACTGGTCTTTAATATCCTGCTCATTATTATTAAGTCCCTCTGAATCAAATATTAAAGATGTTTCTTCTGATTCAGACAAAACTTGACTATCTTCAAAACTTTCAGGAGGTTCCGAAGGAGGGTTTTAGGTTATACACCTTCGAACTTATAGTAGGCCCATTTTAAATTTCCTGAACGAGGAAATGTCACAAATTGCTACTGCATCTTAAAGATCTGGTGTATTTTTATTAAAGAGAGATAAAAACGCCTCAAGTAAGTTTTTTTCCAGTCAACTTTTTAGAAGACATTTTTTTGTTTTCTGTTTTGGTAGAATCAGTGAGCTGGCTCTTGTGTGGTGAATAACAAGAACTTTGCAGACATTTGTGTGGTACTACCCACTTATATGTAAAGGTTTATCCATCATTTAAAAAATGAACAGGTATCAAAATCAACTGGTATCTAAAAAAGAAAAAAACATCGTTACTACAATGGTAGATAATTGAAGTCTAATAAATTACAATTAAACATTTTTATTTTAATAAAGAGTATAGATACAAACCTTAAAATAATTTAGCTGTTGCTTGAAGCCGAGCTTGAAGCTTTTCTGTGTAATAATAATAATAATAATTTTCTTTTCATATTTTTGGCAACACTAATAAATATTTTTAATAATAAATGTAAATCATTATCACGTCTTGGGAGGAAACATTTTTTCATACTCATATTATTTTATAAAAACGAAAATTAAATAATTGACATTATTGACACAAAATTACAATATTTCTGGTTAAAAATCGATTCTCGGCACCTAAAGATGAAGCGAGTGCAACTGACATTTAAGATCGATATATATCCCTTCTCGATATCCGAGATAGAAATCGCAAAATCCTTCTCGTTACAACACGTCTCGAGTACGAAAGATGAGAATCCCACTGCTGATATCTTTTTCCGGTTGCCTTCCATAGTTAACCTTGCTGGTAGCTATAATAAAATAATAAAAAATAGTACATTGTTTTACGAGCAGGGAATGATAATCATTTCCTACGAGTACGAAATTTGCAGCATGAGCCGTAGGCCAGAAAAAATATATTTCTAAATTACAACAATAAATGCAACTTACCTTATTCTAGATAGAAAATAAATGTTGAGCACTAATTTTTTTCGTCACAAATAAAGTTCAAATCACACAAAGTCACAAGAGGATTCAGGCGCGTGCAAGAACAAGAAGTAAACTGAGAACTGTACGCAACTATTATGAGATACTAATTAGAAATAGAAGTGTGGGTTGATAAATTTCTATAGGTGGATATTTTGGTAAAACATTTGGTACGGATAACTACAAGAATTTTACGTAAAACCCAGATAATTTTATTATTCTAAGGAGGGCAGGATACTAAACAAATTGAGTTACTTATTTTGTATTGCTATGTTTACTTATAGATGGGTATTTTTGAAAAACATTTGGTCGAGATTACCTTCTACAAGAATCCTAGGTAATATCCATTTTACAGAGGTTCATTTTTAAATAAGTAGGTAGGTATTCTGAATATTGATTATATTATAATTGTAAATTATAATCTTTGAATAAAAATGTTTGTCATACTTTCAAAGTATTTAATCCATGATTATAGAATTTAATTTTATATTATAATCAAATTATTAAATACACAGTCCATATCTAGAAATATTTTGACAAATACGAACAAATTTGCGTCAAATACAACGCACAACGTAAATATTTATTGATCTGGACCCGGCCTAACATACCACATGATAGTAAAACATCGACTTAAGTCGATCACTTTTCGACCCTTGCGTCTCTCTGTTACCTGTCAAATACCAGAAATCACTTGGGGGCGCGGGAAAACGCTTGCAATTTGAAATAAGGACTGTGCTATTTTATTTTAGTGTGCCGTATTATATCAATTTCTTCTAGGTGTATATTTTAGGGCCAACAAACATTAAATAGTAAGTTTTAGACTTATAACTAACAAAATGCGCTAAAAAACATTCTTGAAACTATAAAAACTATACCCTGGGAATATAAAATCATACAAAATGTACAAACAAAACTGACAATTCCCTAGTGCTTGTTGAATCACATCAAAGACCAAGAAGAAAGAGAAAGTTATAGAAAAAAACAGTTGATACTGGCTTCAAACAGATCCAGACCGTTAGTTATCTATTATTCATTTGTTTATCTGAGGTTTTAATTAAATTTGTTACACTAAGTACTTCTTATTTTTGAATTTTCCATTTTATGTGAGATGATTAATTATGTTTATTGACGAAAAACTCATAAAAAGAGAATTCCTGTTTTGTTACCTACATGAGGTATTAAATTTTAATGGTGAAACAATAATTGCTTGTTACAAAAGTTCGTGTATGCAATAAATGCATGTGAGAGTTGCAAGAATAGACTGTTTTTATACAATGAATGAAGTGAAACAATGAACACGGTTGTTACTGATTTATTTCTCAAAGTGTAAAACTGTCTAATGAAATTGTGTAATATTTTGCACTTACGGGAAACAGATAACAGTTGACAGTAGCAACTTTAGGTATGAACATGATGAATTACCTATTATAGGTGATATAACCATATAAATAAAAACAAAATTAAATATGGCATCAAAAAGTACGTAGTTCTAAAATTACACATTTAACACATTTGCAGATAGCTGCAGCTAACTGCACTAAATCTAGAAATACTACACCTTCTTTTGCTCGTTTATCTAATATGCATGGATCGTAAGGCACCTTAATACGGAAGCAATATTTATACCTCTTTTGTTGATGTAAAATTACAAAAACTACAAAATTCCGTTCCATAGCGATGATAATGTGAGAAAACCAGGAGTGGAAAGCCAACATGGCGCCGCAACCTTTAATTAATTCTATTCATTCTCTTATCTCGAGTGCTATCAGCATAATTTAAGTTATCCACTTAAGTGAATATCTGGAAAGGCAACACAAACATCTTTTTCAAGGCGTAGACGGTCGACGAGGCCTAACCAACAGGGCCGGCATGATCAGAATATTTATTAAAAAAAAAGGTTCCTGAAAAATCGTCATATTTTGATGTAGGTAAGGAATTCACTGAGAGCTCCCTAACACAAAATTGATCCGTTCTAATAAATTTTTCCTACAATTGCAAAAGATTTATACAGGGTGTTATTGAAATACACGTACATATTAAAATGGGGAATAGTATGTAATGACCAAAAACGATTGGCACCAATTTTAACTTCAAATTCTAAAATTTAAATATTGGGGAAGAGTCCCCTTTTCCGACCTACTAGTTTCCATATTTAAAGAAGTAAAATAAATCGAAATTGAACTTACCCATAGAAATTGCACTGTTGCCGTAGCAAAACCAATTAATTCAAAATAAAGTTTATTACAGTAATTGTTCAAAATGCCGTCCATTATTATTTACACACACTTGCAATCGTCTTTCCAAAGAACTTTGAACATTAGAAATTAGTCTTGGATTTTGTCGTAGTTCCTCGGCTACCGCATTAACTTTATTGGTTAATTGTTCAACACTATTAATAGGTTCATTATAAACTAGTTGTTTCATGTGACCCCACAAAAAGAAATCGCATGGATTTAAGTCCGGAGATCTCAGAGGCCACTTAGTAGGTCTATTTCTGCCTATCCACTTTTGAGGAAATCTAATGTTTAAAAACTGCCGTACGTTTAAATCAAAGTGAGGAGGAGCGCCATCTAGTAGGTACCACATCCGTTGCCTTAATTGTAACGGTATCTCTTCTAGGAGTACTGGCAAAATATCTTCTAAAAAGTGGAGATATCCTGGCCCATTTAATCTGTTCGGGAGAACATAAGGCCCGATTAAATACTGATCTATTATGCCAGCCCAAACATTTATTGAACATTTTCTTTGATGCCCAGTTTCCCTAATGGCGTGAGGATTTTCATCACTCCAAATATGCGTATTGTGCATATTGAACACGCCATCACGAGTGAATGAAGCCTCGTCAGTATACAATAATATTTTTAGAAAATCAGGAATATCAACACATTTTTGAATCATCCATTCACAAAACTCCACTCTCTTTTCTTCATCACCTGGATATAAGGCCTGGACTTTTTGGATGTGATAAGGATGTAAACCTTGTTCTTTAAGTGTCCGCCACACAACAAATGAGGACACTCCAATTTCAAGACCTAGTCTTCTACAACTTAATTGAGGACAGGTTTTCAACAGCTTCCAATATTTCTTCTTCGGCCGCCAATGTTCTTTGTGTTCTTGTTCTCCCTCGATATGCATTGACACTCTCAAATTTTCCATGGTCTCTTAGATGCTGAACAGTTGAAATAAACGTACGACAGTCCGGAATTCTCCGATTTGGAAACCGTTCGCGATACAGGATTTGTGCTTGCCGAGAATTTTCTCCAGCTGCCCCATAAACCAGCACTAGATCCGTTAGTTCAATATTCGTAAATAGTGGCATCGTAAAAAATATTTAAAAGTAATCGTAACAACACTTTTTACCAACTTGGAAATGACGCGCTCGTGTTAGCCAGATTCGTAAATCAACTAAAATTTTAATAATCTATAGTTTCAAAAATTTATAGTTTAAAAACAATCATTTATCAAATATTCTAGTTTCTTGATAACGAGGGTAGTAAAAACCAGTCTTCGGAAATAGAAATTAATTCGAAAATCTTGGCAACATGGTTATTTCTTACAAGACTAGTTTTCTTATCATCTGACAAAAACTTGCATATTAATTACTGTTGATGTTTAAAATAGGTAAATAAACCTAATTTATATAGGTCATCCTCAACATATCAGTGAAGTACGTTTGTTTTAGAATTAATTTTCAAAAATTAATAACTCCCTTAATAAGGGGTATTTTAAAAAATAATATTTTTCTACATTTAGTGGGGATCTGCGCAATACCCAGTTTTAATATGTACGTGTATTTCAATAACACCCTGTATAATTTTAATTTATATAATTTATATAATTTATATAATTTATATAATTTATATAATTTATATAATTTATATAATTTATATAATTTATATAATTTATATAATTTATATAATTTATATAATTTATATAATTTATATAATTTATATAATTTATATAATTTATATAATTTATATAATTTATATAATTTATATAATTTATATAATTTATATAATTTATATAATTTATATAATTTATATAATTTATATAATTTATATAATTTATATAATTTATATAATTTATATAATTTATATAATTTATATAATTTATATAATTTATATAATTTATATAATTTATATAATTTATATAATTTATATAATTTATATAATTTATATAATTTATATAATTTATATAATTTATATAATTTATATAATTTATATAATTTATATAATTTATATAATTTATATAATTTATATAATTTATATAATTTATATAATTTATATAATTTATATAATTTATATAATTTATATAATTTATATAATTTATATAATTTATATAATTTATATAATTTATATAATTTATATAATTTATATAATTTATATAATTTATATAATTTATATAATTTATATAATTTATATAATTTATATAATTTATATAATTTATATAATTTATATAATTTATATAATTTATATAATTTATATAATTTATATAATTTATATAATTTATATAATTTATATAATTTATATAATTTATATAATTTATATAATTTATATAATTTATATAATTTATATAATTTATATAATTTATATAATTTATATAATTTATATAATTTATATAATTTATATAATTTATATAATTTATATAATTTATATAATTTATATAATTTATATAATTTATATAATTTATATAATTTATATAATTTATATAATTTATATAATTTATATAATTTATATAATTTATATAATTTATATAATTTATATAATTTATATAATTTATATAATTTATATAATTTATATAATTTATATAATTTATATAATTTATATAATTTATATAATTTATATAATTTATATAATTTATATAATTTATATAATTTATATAATTTATATAATTTATATAATTTATATAATTTATATAATTTATATAATTTATATAATTTATATAATTTATATAATTTATATAATTTATATAATTTATATAATTTATATAATTTATATAATTTATATAATTTATATAATTTATATAATTTATATAATTTATATAATTTATATAATTTATATAATTTATATAATTTATATAATTTATATAATTAATTTATATAATAAATATATAATAAAGACTAGAATTATAAATAGCCCTAGGAGCAACTAGGAGCATATCGAAGAAGTCCATATTTATCCCTATGTAATGAAACTTCCAATCCGCCATTACAGTATAGAAGAGTAAAAATTCTGGATAGCTACTGTACAAATAGACTAAGTCAACCCAAACATCCAGTCTGCCATATAAAAAACTACGATGACATCTTAAACAGGCGATTCTCTATTATCAGACCTGTACTAATAAGATTTAGGGAACTATTGGAAAAAATTGACGAAACTTACCAAGGATTAATTTATAAACAGAAATGTGAAGTTCCTCCTTGGAAAATAAACAATTCGACTATCCGCTACGATTGCCTAAAACATAAAAAATGTGAAATATGAAATGATATAATAAAAAATTTCTTTAAAACAGTTATAAATACTTACCCAAGGAGTCAAATAATCTACACTAACAGATCAAAGAAATTTCAAAGTTATGCTAGTGCATTCTGCTCCAAAAACGTCATATTATTTTATCTGAGGCAGCAACGGTCTTTACATCAGAGTTGTACACTATATGGCAAGCCTTAAAATTCATTGACTTAGGTAACAATCACCGATTCTCTAACCCTGAACAATAATTTTAGCAACGATCCATTCTTAAAACAAATACTGGCCACTTTTCATCATCTAGAGTCGAGAACTAAAGAAGTAGTTTTTGTATGGATACCAAGTCACATTGGTATACAAGAAAACGAGAAAGTAAATAGTGCTGCAAAATAATCCTTCGGCCGACAACCTGAAAATATTCTTATCCAAGATGAAAACCTTAAAATCTATTTAAAACAAAAAATACTAAATAACTGGCAAGAAGAATGAACTTAACATCCATCAAAGCTAGAAAGAGTCAAACCCACAACAGTGGATAATACTTGCTATGCTTTCTGTAAATTCTAGAATATTTCGACTATTTTGACTATTCTTTGGTCATCAGAAAAGTCGAGGCGATAAGAGGCCTAAATAAGACAGAGAGAGACTCAAGGGATTAGAGCAGGACCATGACTAGCAGAACAGTAAAATTTTTGCCCTGGCAGAATTATGTGTATACTGATATTTCTCCTCAGTTTATTATAATTTTATTTAGTTATAAAATCCCTGTAACTTTATTTGTTCATTATTTTGTTGTTTGTAATTATTTATTTATTACATTGCCTTTATTTGAGAACCCTGTATTATATAAATGAAATGTTTAAAACACACCTTTATATGCAGTTTGTTATTGTAGCAATATCTATTTCCAAATAAGTAATTCTCTCCCAACATTATTTCCTTAAAAAATTAAATACACGCATAAAATTTTATTACAAATCACTATAAAACATTGCAAAGAAAATAGTTAAATGGCTTACCTAGTACATTCTAGATTTCTATGACGTTTTCCTGAAACTTTTACAAACGATATTTTCTCTTACGTGTGTGTTCTGAGTGACTCAGACAATGTATCAAGAGTTCGTTCAACTCAAAACAAAACATGAAGAGTAGTATTTAATAAAATTACTTTATTTTACTTGTTAAAAAGTTAAATAGAA